TCTTCTTAGCATCGCTAGCCAGCCGTTCCTCGACCTCCCGTCTCGCAGATCTAATAGTGGAAGTAGTGGTAGTGGTAGTGGTAGTGGTAGTGGAAGTGAGACGACTCTTTTTGAGGATTAGATCCATAGAGAGGTCCCCCAAGCGCCTCGTGGAGCATGACCAGAGTTCACCAGCCAGATGGAGGATATTGGGTGAATTGCATGAAACTGACATTAGCCTAATGCTAGCTTTAAACCTCTATTAGGGGTGGAGTTAAAGCTGCATTAGCGGAGATTTTTAATGTGGATTGAACGAAAATAAATTAGCCTAACGCAGCATTAAATTCCGTATTAGTTTAATGCTACGACGACCCTACTCCACTAGCACCGAAGAGGAACATCCCGCTGGCTCGACACACTTCCTTACTGCTACATGGATGTCCACGGACATCCATGTAGCAGTATTCATTTCAATATTTATTTATTTATTTTCCTGAATGTTTCCGCGGCTGTAAAGAAAGCAGAGTGAATAAGCAGTGAATTTAGTAGATGGTCGCCCGAACTCAGTTGAAGCACTTGACGCCCAGGAGCATGTGTTCCATGATCGACTTGGAGCAGTACTCTCCTGAAGAGGTATTGCGGAGGTACCGGTTCACACCTCAGGGCATCCTCCTCTTGGTGGGCAATTTTTGAACCCGATCTACAAGGTTTTTTGGAAAGTCATTCCTTTTTTTTTATTGTAGGAGGTATTAACGTTTGTAATTTTTGGACTAAAACAATGCTTTTGTGTGGAAAAAAGAGAATTCGGTAGGATTTTATGATTTGATTGATTTATTTGTTTGCAGTAACCATCCATGGTGCCAACACTGAGGGCGACATTTACCGGATCCGTTTAAGCTTAACTAATCTGATCTCACGATGGTCCCTCATGGGGATCAGTTTGACAGAGATAAACCTATTCCCGTAGACGCCCATTATGAAAACGAATCAGTTTAAATTTAAAGGAATTGATGCATGTCACCCTGAATCTTCGACACCGTGCCCAAGTAGCTGCGCAGTATGAGGGGTGGAGGCGGAGAAAATGTGAAGTTGTATCCAAGGCATTCTCCTTTCATCACCACCTCGAGACCATGACGGAGGACCGTACTTTCAATTAAAAAAATTACAAATGTTATCACAATTTAAAAATAGGGACTGACTTTCTAAACACCCTGTAGAGCGCAGAACGAAGAGGAACTACGCGATACCGCCACTGCTGCAGATCTGCTGCGCTCTCCGGTTCTATGAGCGCGGCTCCTTTCAGGCCGTGATCTCCGATACTCTCGATATCGACACCGCCACTGCGTGTCGCATCGTTCGACTAGTGTTGCCGGCCCGAACGCGCCGCGTCTGCAACACTCGCCGTTCCACTTTGGAACTTTCGCGCCAACTCGTAAACATTGCTTCTTTCGATACAGTTTTCGTAAACTGCCCTGAGTCAGGAAAATTTGAATTGTCATTCACGCCATCTTCGATCACAAAACGCAACTCTTCCTTGGTGCAATCAAGACCCATATTCGCCATTTTTCGTAACTGTAGGAGGCATGCGAGACGACAGTAAAGCCAAAGACCACCGTTTTCATGGCGCTGATATTCTAACAAGCAGATCTATGTGCGTTGCTACTTATATATCCTACGTTACGATTCCAGATGTCCTGTTACTTTTTGACACACCCTCGTACCTTTGCGTACCTATTGATTATAATAATAAAAAATCATTTTCGAGCGTTGCCGAAGCGGACGGCATTCTTGCGGGTCCTTGATACACGTCATCGGAGTCGCTAATGCACATTAGGAAGCGCTTATGTCAGTTAGCTAATGTAACTTTAAATTTCTTTGTGCATGCCTCACTTTAAAGCCCCTTTAGCTAATACAGCTTTAGGCTAATGCTGGCATTAGTTTTGTGCACGAATACAGCTTTAGGCTAATGGCATTAGTTTCATGCAATTCACCCCGGGTCTTTTTTCTGTTAACAAAATTCTACTCGCCGCTACGTAAAGGCGCAGAAGTGAAGACGGGTGCAACAACAGACATATAGTCCCATCAGTTCCATAAGGGTCCATCTGAAAATCTGGGAAATTAAAACAAATCACTTCGAAATTCAGTAACTTCTTGACAAGTCAAGGGAAACTTTCACCTTTTACGCTTCGAGGAAGGGCTGTTTGCTATTGTTTAATGCAATTGCAATGCATCGCACGAAACTGTTGTTTATGTAGAAAATTAAGATACTATTGGAAAAATTTATTTTACTTCATTTTTTAAAGTCCAGAACCTCGTCGAATTGAGGCGACGATATGACAGGAGAAATCTCTCCCTGCAGGTTGAACCACCCCATCGATTCACCAAAGTATAATTGACTAAGGGAGAATTATTCGCCCCCCCCCCCCCCCCCTCCCACCATGATGAAATCGTGAAAACGCAAGTACCCTCCAGTTCCTGGGTTCGGGCCGCTCAGAAGTCCCATTGCATTGCTTCCTATGGCTGCGGGTTGTGTGACATCGAATTCTAGTTGACACAGTGAGGTCATAGTTCCAACAAAAATTCCTAAGGGGCTCTTACGCAGGTTTCCATGACGTGCGAGCTGAGACTCTGCTTCCTCTCTCCACGGAGGCTCACTTGCTGTCAGAGTGGGGTATCCCTTACAATGCGAAGGTCAATTTATGCAATGGAAGTCAGAGTAAACAAATTAACATATATTACGAACGGATGAAGTCACAAAATCAAAGGCCAAATCGTCCAGGCGTCTTCGGCGGTGCCAAATGCATCCTTCCAGGAGTTGCAATATCCTGGTGACTTCTTGCAGATGCCAATTCTCTCTCTGTCTGTTCGGTCTTGCGTCGCTCCATCTCACGAGTGGCGCGCTCCATTTCTTCTTCCATGAACGTGGTGTTCTCCCGTGTCCGTTTCCGTCCGCTCTTCAAGGTTTCCTTGATGCTGAAAAACATGGGACCCAACTCGGCGAGCCAGTGACCCTCGACGGCCGTCACACACTGCATGTACTCCTTGGCAGTCATAACCAGTTCGTGATAGACGATATAGTCCGGGGTGTAACCCATGCCAAAAAGGGCACTAGTCGGGTGCAAGTGACAGGGCATCCCCGTTCGTAGGTTCACGTATTCCCCGATCCCCTTCAGGCGTGCCGCTTGGTGAAAGTACGCCGAGCAGATGCACTTGCGCACTACATCCCAATCGGTGCCACTCGACAATATTTTCATCTTATTCTGTTCCATGATCTCCTTCAGTTGCTCCCGCACCTCACGAACCTTTCGCATGGCCTTGGAATGGAGGAAGTGTTCGTCACACCACGACGATGAGTATCGATTGGTCTTCCACTGCTGGTACACATTGAGGTAGGTTAGGTGGTCCGATTCTGGGACCTGTCAGGATGAAGGAAGGTCATTTTTCCTTTACTAATGTACTACTTCCTCAGCAATTCAGAATCTCAAAGTTCATACCCATATGAGACACTTAACCCTACCTCAAAATAAATTTTTAAAAAGGAAGGGGGGAGGGAGGGCAATTTATTATATTCTAAAGGTATTCGTCCGATATCGTGCCAGACTTAAGCATTTCTGAAAATAACATCTCACGAGAACGATTTATGCAGTTGAAAATAAGTCCTGTTCTCCAAATCCAGTAAATTTTCATATCTGAAGTACTGAAAAATCACAGTGAAGCATCAATCTCTAAGCAGCTCCTAGCCAGGTATCCTATTTTAGCGAGTTGCAAGATAACTGAGCGCAAGCAGCATACAGTATCGGTGAATGAGTTGGCTTTTAATACCTCATATCATGTGCTGCTACGGTTGTTTGTGTTCTGGTTGCATTTTTCACAATTAAATGCTTTTCTAGAGGCCTCAAGCCGAATTCTTCATTCTTACCGTTTTTGTCGTGTCCTGAATTTTCGAGTAAAGAACAAGGAATTCAGTGAAAAAAACGTGATCAAATAAACTGGCATTGTTTAATAATAATAATAATTAGCAAAGCAAAAAAGCTCATAACATGGCAATGTGAATTTATCAATACCAATTTCATCATCGAGACAGCCTGCTGTCTGCGATCAGTCCTACTGGAGCATGCGAAAGTGACACATCCGGTACGAAGCAACTAGCAGATTGTTTCTTCTCTACAATCCTCAATACTTTCCAAAACGTAACGATATTCGCAGCTTGTTCACACGAAGAATGAACATCCCTTGTGCCAAAGAATAACAAGTTAATTACTCATTCCCAGTTGAGACACTACGTGCAACCTGCACCGTATTCATAGGACAAGAAGACCAGGTATTCCAACGACTCCACGAGTTCGAGTTCCTTACAGGCACAAGCAAAGCCTCGCATCGTTAATTTTGTCGCCACAAATGCATAAATAAATCTGAAGAAACAAGAAACATCGAACCAACCTGGAATTTTTCCCTCATGGCATCAGCATCGTCTTCTCTTCCCTTGGGCCTGAAGAAGATGGCCGGTACAGAAAGCATGGAGACGATGATGAGAATCTCTGCGCTGCAGCCCATCTCCACGCTCACGATCAGCATCTTGGACAGGGACGGATCCAGGGGGAACTCCACCATCTTCTCGCCTAGCTTTGTCAGCTGACCGGTGTTGTCCAGGGCTCCCAGGATCCACAGCTGGTACATGGAATTCAGCATGTTTTCCTCGGGTGGTGGGTCCATGAAGTGGAACTGAAGCAGATCTTCCACCTTCAAGGACTTCAATAGGAGGACAACGTTGGCCAGGTTTGTCCGTTGAATCTCTGGCACCGTCATTGCCAAGAGTTCTTCTTTGTACTGGCGTTCGGTAAAGAGACGGTAGCAATGACCAGGGCCGGTTCGCCCAGCACGACCTGTCCGCTGATTTGCATTGGCCTGTGAAATCGGGTAGATTTGCAGAGCATCCATACCGATCCGTGGGTTGAACACTTTGAGCTTGGAATAACCCGAGTCGACCACAAACATGATTCCGTCTACTGTCAGGGACGTCTCGGCGATGTTTGTGGCCACAACGCATTTCCTAACACCATCCGGTGCCTTCTGGAAAATCTTGGCTTGCAAATCACTCGGTAGTTGCGAATATATCGGCAAGACCGCCAATGTGGGTGCTTCATCAATCTGCGACAGCCGCTCCTTGATTTCATCGCATGTGACCTCTATGTCTTCCTGCCCTGGCATAAAAACCAAGATGTCACCTTTCATCGGACCAAGATGGATCTGTAGAACTTGCTTCACAGCTGCATCCACATAGTCCTCAACCGGGTTCCTGCTGAAATAGGTCTCCACAGGAAAGGTCCGGCCAGGAATGATATATATGGGGACATTGCCAAAAAAGTTGGCAAACTTGGATGCATCCATTGTGGCAGAGGTCACAATAAGCTTCATGTCCTGACGGTGCCGCACAACATCACGAAGGAGACCAAATAAAACGTCGGTGTTCAGGGACCGTTCATGTGCTTCATCCATGATTACAACACTGTATGTCTCAAGGTGTGAGTCACGTAAGGACTCACGAAGCAAGATCCCATCAGTCATGTATTTGATGACAGTTTTGGGGCCGGTACAGTCTTCGAATCGAATCGCATATCCAACTTCTTCTCCCAAAGTGCAGTTCATTTCCTCAGACACTCTTTTGGCCACTGACATGGCAGCCACACGACGTGGTTGCGTGCAACCAATCATCCCATACTTTGAGTAACCCTCTTCGTGTAAGTATTGGGCCAACTGAGTTGTCTTTCCGCTTCCAGTTTCTCCAACCACCACAACAACATTGTTCTCTCGTACCACTGTCAGCAGCTCCTGCCTAACTGCAAAGACCGGGAGATACTGACGTTGTTCGTGTAACGTGCGGCGTTTGGCGAATTCGCTCACTGCTTCACCCTTCTCCTTCATGTGATCAGCGTACTTCTGCTTCTCTTTGTAGTTAGTTTCTTCACCTTGTTCAACGTCATCCTCCTTCTTCTTCTGCACACCCATGATGTCCCCGAGTTTTGTTCCAGCCAATTCCCAATGCTTGTGCTGTGCCCTCTTGCGTTCTTTCTGTTCTCGGTGTTTGCGAACCAAGAGAGAACCTTTCCTGGCAACAACAGCCATATCGGATGTTGGATCCCGGACTGGAACCACCGGATCGGGTTGCTTGGTGAACACGATGCGACCATCCAGGAATGGTGGGACAATGTTGTGCACAAGAATGTGAACGCGTGCCTCGCCCTCTTCCTCGAAGTCTTCATCAAAATTCTTCTGCAAGACAACACCAGAACGAAGCATCCGATTGGTTTCCCAGCGCTCATTGTCCTTATTGATCTGACGCTGCATGGCCGACATTCGCTTGTTCTTGCGTGATTCCAACTGCTTCTCCTTCTTCTCGACATACTCTTGGCTCACATCATCAAATGGATTATGTGTCTCATCATAACCCTCGTCCAAATTGTACCATTCACGGTCAAGCCGTCGCTGCTCATCCTCCCATAGCTGCCGGATCTCGGGATTGTCTCCACGGGTGGAAACATCGTCTGTACTGCGCATCCATGGATTCTTTTTATATGAGGGAGTTGGCAAGGGTGTTTCCTTGAGTCGTCGAGATGATGGCTCTTTTCTGGAGTATATTGTAGGGGTAGGCAGGTCCCATGTTGATCTTTTTGGGGGTGTTGGGTCATCATCATCCCACGAACTTCGACTAGGGGCATCCTTCACTGGCATTAGAGGTGTATGGGGTTCATCACGAAATTTTGGAGTTCGGGTGGACTCATCACGCCTTGATGAGCTTCGTGAGTGATGGTGAACTCCATCTTTCCGTGTCTGCGCTGCGATGCCCCTGTGTCTGTCTCTTTCCTCTTCCCTTCTTCGGCGTCGCCGCATTGCCTCCTCCGATACGCCCCCTGTGTACGATGGTGTTTCGGCTTGGCCCTCTCTGTAATGGCGACTCTTCCGCTGTCGTTCGGCATCAGCTGCCTCCAGCCGTTTCTGGTGGGCCAGCTTATCCAGTCCAAACAGGGATCCCTGAGGCTTCTTGAACATTCTGTCATCTTTGTCTTGGTCTTTTTTTCTGATGACCAGGCCACCTTTGATTGGCTCTGGAGCTTCAAGACGGTCTTCAGCCATTTTTCACTATCTGAAGAAAGAAAGGAACTCCATTGAGTAAAACATGAAGGAAACAACTAGGATGAACTACTTGCACTCCAACATGAGTAGCACACAGGAAAATAAAATTCAAGATGTACTTTATACTTAAGTTCATCCAAAATATTAGAGAATCAAAAAGATCTTCACTTAGATCCATGGAGATTTCATGTACACTTCATGTTGTATCATTCAAGCACCTCAACTAATCACAATAAACTAAAAAAAAAGAGAGCGAAAAAAGACCAACAAAAACTTGTCTAAAAAATCAGAGAATAAGCCTAGAATTTAATAAATTTGAGACATTCAGCTGTGCATGTGTCAAGTGACCATCTCATTAGTTCAGGAAAAAGTTTTGTTGTTAGCTGGACCAATTTTACATTAATAAATTCCACAAGCTACTTTTCAATCTAAGGAAATGTGGTCTAATATATTAGATCAATTTTCAGTTTCATGGACTTTGTTTTCCAGACAGACCAGTTTTCCTTACAGCCCTTCAATTATGTGATAAGTTGGAGGAGTTCTATTATTGCTAAGAACCATCATGTGATGAGAATTTCCCACACCCTCCTGGGCTTCCTTATCCACAGTAAAAAGAGATGAATGTCTCAAAATCACTGAAAACCTCTTGCATAGGCCTTTTCCTACAAAGGATTCATCTGACATGCTGAGTGGAAACCGTAAGTCTGAACTGCTGAAAGCATTGTCATGGATTTTTTTTCCCATACAGGAGTGCCCAAAAGTAATGTAACATGCATGTCAGAATTTAAACATGGACTAAACATATAATGAAACTGGCTTTCATGATGAAGCCTGCAAGCCTATAGGTTTGCTTCTTGAGCTTCACTTGTATTTCTTCTAAAGACAGAACATATGGTGAACACACGACTACTGACTTTTTCAATTGCCACATCACACCAGAGGGAGTACCAGCTTGGCACTGGCACCAAACCCAAACACAGTCCTTTAGGCAGGGACATCTCTCAACAAATTGAGGACTGGACAAATACATGCTATCATACCCCTGGTTCCCAGGCATTTTAGGTAACTATTGTAAAGCTGCAAGTTTCCTACTCAATGACAGCTATTCAAGCAGTTCAGGAAACCCTCAACAGATGATAGGAGTTGTTTGGTTCTCAGTCATATGCAAAAAATGTGTTTACAAGCGACCCATCCTTCCTGTGCGTACTTGAAAAAACAAGTAAACACACAACCCGTCCTCAATGTGTTAACAGTCCTGAAGACTTCAGTGACAGCTCATGGTTGTCTAGACCAGTGATTCTCAAACTCTCTTTTACTCCAATAGAAGGTCTGTGTGCTTGGTGGTCCATGGACCACAGATTGAGAACCACTGGTTACATGGTTACATGGCTTACATGAGCAATTTTAATGCATACTGATGTACCCACTAAATTTGGCACAGAGTGATGTGTGTGCTAGGCAGATGCTCTCCAGGAAGCAGGTGGGTTAATTGTTGGTAGAGCTAAGCTTGTTGCCACCCAATCTCAAACCCACCTGAATCTGGAAGTCACCACTTGGGATCCAAACCCAGTTTGAACATCACTTATTAGTTGATAATGTCAGCAAGCATGTCTACAGTTCACAAATCCCTAAAATATATTTCTTTTCTCAGCATTATCTCATGATTACTAGAAAGTGAAAACCGAATATGGCAGGCAAGGAACTGCATCATTGAGAGAAAAAAAAAGTAGGCATAACCCACCAGTAATGAAAACTACAATAAAGAAAACAATATCAATACAGCATTGTAAAGCATCTAAGCATAAGTAACTATATCAGCACTGTCATCATATTTTATGCCAAGAATCCCAGTATTTTTGAGTCTGCATTGCAAAGAGTCGAGAGACAGTCCGGTGAAAGGCAAATGCCTCCTCCTCTCCTGTGAAGGGACCTTTCATGGCATCTTTCTGAAATAGCCAACATCCATCACTCATGAAAGAATTTATTTTTCATGGAATGAAAGAGAATGAAGATGCTAAACTTACGACAGAAAGGCCAAGATCATCAAAGAGTACCCGATGTTCATCAGCAAACTCATCTTTGTTGTCAGGTACAAAAAGACCATCAGGTGTTGCTGCAGCAGAGCAAATGATTCTCACCTATGAGTGTACAAGTAACTCAAGTTGTAAAAACATTAAAAGGGCCATTAAACCACAAAATGACACCAATTCATAATTATATTTTATTTCCATTAGCAAAGAAGTAAGAAGAGATATAAAATGACAATGCCTGTGGTTGCTCCAATAACTTTGCAGTGAACATTTCAGAATAAGAAGGTATCATTTGTAATTCTAGAGTCTCCCATGCAAACCAACAAGGATTTACCTTTAACCTTACATCAACAGTTATGAGAATATAACTGATTTGGAAAGGTACATACACGATTATCATACAGGGTATCAATGAGGGTGATGAACCGCCTGGCCTGGGACTTGAGACGCTGGTTGAGGATTGGGATGTCACGGATGAACAGAGTATGGAACATATGACTGAGATGAAGGTAGTCAATAGCACCCAAGGCCTGCAGAACAAGATGCTGGCTTGAGTGAAACGTACTGACTATGTGTCTCAATTTAAAAAAAAGTTGACAAAAAAGAAAGCCATTAATCCTTCAATTGCTATAGGTGCATTAATGCATCAGTGAAAGAAACACCATCACTGCTATTGACACACATTTGACTTGAATTTTCCATTTGTCACTGCTGTTGGTGTTTATATGTGATTGATATGAGACGTGAATGCTACTGTCATCTATTGAGAATTGAATGGTATTTCATACTGCCTGCAGAAAAAACTATAGGGGCTCAACCCACCTGCAGAAAGCTTAGCAGTTAAAGGATTAATACAGAAATGGAAAAAGAAAATATAGGGTGTCCCACATATTTCTGACACATTTGTTTTTTTAATTAATCAAGAATGGATAATGTATTCAGCCTGAAATTTTGGGATAATTTAATAAAAACTTTGGAAATTATGTTCCAACCCCCCAGAATTCACACAGCATTGCTTTTTGTTCAGTAAATAAAATTTTTCCAAATGCCCTCCATTCTGATTCATGCACTCTCTGCATAATGTATCCCATAATGTATAAACTACCCTGTATAATGCATTAAGATTATATGTTGCTCACATTGAGACCAGATTTTATGCTAGATGAAAACAGAGAATAGAATATTAAGAATTACAAAGATAATAACGGAAGACAGAGAGCAGAAATGATTGAATCTCCTAGCTTTCCCATTTTTATACTTATTTCTTTTAATTTGATTCGTATATCTGACATGCATTTTCCCCTCCTTGTCAAATCATATTCATCTAAGAATGTGTAAGAATGAGAATTCTGCTCAAACTCACTTGATCACAGAGCTCAGCAAAAGTGCAATCAGCTAGTTGGCCACAGGTGCGAGAGAGAGTCACATGTCGCCCTTTGATGGTCAGGGTGCGGGGTCTCACCCTATCTGTCTCCTGAGCAGCTAGGGCTTTGAACAAGGTCTCCAATTTCTTTGTCGTATCTTTGGCTCCTGTGCTACAAGAAATCTCACTTGTGTTATATAGCATGAAGTACATCCATTAAAATTGCTCCTAAAATGTAGCTGACCATTCATTACAATTCACTCCAACAACTTATGTAACTGATGAAGGCAAAAACCATTATGAACTTGAAAATTTTTCCAAATATAAAACAAAATCTATAAGAAATATTAAGCTGCATGAAGAATTAGTTAATGAAAATTACCATAATAAGCTAAGAGTCTCAAAGGAAGCAGCAGGATTCAGAGGAATGCATATTTGCATGAGAAAAATAAATGAATGACTGAGTGAGAAAAGAGATGCAAATCTTTGTTATCCTCAGAAGGAATGTGAGATTGGCCCAATCTCACTTCATTAACACAGAACAAATCCAAGAAAAACAAAAGTGGAAAAAAAAGGTGTAGGTCTCAAGGAAATTAACTGACCATGAATAGAGAAAAACATGGATGTCAGTTAAAATTGGGCATGTGGATTCATACAGAGGATGTGAAATAATTTCCAGTGAAAACCTCATGTCTTTGTCAATAGGTATGATAGAATTCAATATTTCTGTCAAGATACCATACCCTTAACCTCCTTGCTTATGTTGAAGTTATATATGAATTCTGAAAGTAAATTTTTTGTTGTCTGATACCACCATGGAAGAAAAGAATCATGGCCATTCTAAACATTTTTTTAAAACTTATTCATGAGATAGTTGACTCATGGAAAAAGTTTGAAACTCCCTCCAAGTCCATTTCTGCAACTGGTTATTGAAGAAAATGCAGACAATTTTGATTTCCTGCAGCTTCTACATAACATGAGGAGAGAAATATTGTAACTGCAGAAGGCATGCCTCTATCTATTAAATCATACATTTTGAAGAAACCTTGAAAGAACAGCAGAAAAACAAGAGATTATGAAAAACTGAAAGAGTAGAAGATTGCTTGAACAGTTGAAAAATTTCTGGCCTATTGAAACAAAAGGTAAGAATCTGGAAGGCATAGGAGTTACTCCACTTACAGAAAATAAGTCTGGAGGTGAGCAGCTTCACCTTGGAGACGATAATCAATGCCTGAGTCCAAGGACACAACCTTGCACCTGCCTTTCATCATGGCAATAAAAGGAAGAAAGTTGGAACGTTGGAGACCATTTTTGTAGAGGTCATCANAGTGAAAACCTCATGTCTTTGTCAATAGGTATGATAGAATTCAATATTTCTGTCAAGATACCATACCCTTAACCTCCTTGCTTATGTTGAAGTTATATATGAATTCTGAAAGTAAATTTTTTGTTGTTGTCTGATACCACCATGGAAGAAAAGAATCATGGCCATTCTAAACATTTTTTTAAAACTTATTCACTAGATAGTTGACTCATGGAAAAAGTCTGAAACTCCCCTCCAAGTCCATTTCTGCAACTGGTTATTGAAGAAAATGCAGAAATTTTTGATTTCCTGCAGCTTCTACATAACATGAGGAGAGAAATATTGCAACTGCAGAAGGCATGCCTCTATCTATTAAAGCATACATTTTGAAGAAACCTTGAAAGAACAGCAGAAAAACAAGAGATTATGAAAAACTGAAAAAGTAGAAGATTGCCTGAACAGTTGAAAAATTTCTGGCCTATTGAAACAAAAGGTAAGAATCTGGAAGGCATAGGAGTTACTCCACTTACAGAAAATAAGTCTGGAGGTGAGCAGCTTCACCTTGGAGACGATAATCAATGCCTGAGTCCAAGGACACAACCTTGCACCTGCCTTTCATCATGGCAATAAAAGGAAGAAAGTTGGAACGTTGGAGACCATTTTTGTAGAGGTCATCAGGGGGGCGATTGCTCGTGGCTACCATTATCACTCCACGGGAGAACAATTCTTCAAATAGTCGCTTCAAGATCATTGCATCTCCTATGTCTGTCACCTAGGAGCCAACAAGGAAATGATAAGACATTAAACTTAAGTTTCTGAAGCAATCCCCACAACATAACATTGCAAAACCTAATTAGGGATAATTAAAGATCTGGCTTTGAAAATCCTTGAACAAATGAACTACCTTTCAAAATGAAATTATTCACAAAAAACAATTGAGTTGAGAGACTGACTTCAGTGGTAGGCTTATTATAATGATCTGTAACTCAACTAAACTTGTCTCAAGCATAATCCCCATTCAAGGAGAGTGGAATTGAGGAACTCCTCAATTATGAATACTGGTTTATTATCAAAGAACCAATATACATAATAAAAACAGGTTCAGTTACTTCCGTAAACCCTGTGGAGTATAAATTCATGGAGGTTCACCACCTATACAATTCTATTTGTGTAACAAATAATTTCACATTGAACTCCCTTGGTGGAGAGACACTGACAAAATTACAATAACCAGACAAGATGGTACTCCAATATCATATTTAATTTGTATTTGTTAACACATAAGTACCAATTTTGATAGCAGAACTGAAAAGCCCTAGGCTATAGGACATATCAGCAGAAAAGACACACAATTTTTTAATTGTCACAGATGGCATAAAAAGTTCCCTCCCTGCTAGTCAATGTTAAAATGGTTCAGAACAATCACATTTCTAACCTTCTAGTATGCCCTTCAAATCAGGGGTGCACAAAGTGTAGCCTGCAGGCCAAATGTTGCATAAGAAGTGCCTTAGTTAACATCCTCTTTGTGCACACCTGCTTTAAGTCATACTTCATGAATTACTCAAACATGCACTTATTTATGTGATTGATCACATAATTCAAGATCTGCTGGGTGCAGTAATACTAGATCGTGTGTTTAAGTATGGCACCACCCACGACTGGGGGAAGTTGCACATAAGGAGAAGAATGGGACAATTCATGTCTTCACAGAATTGCATGTTCCTTCTTCACGTGGGGCTTGTCCCAATTTCTTCTAAAAATGGGAGATATACAACAATGATGAAGACTGGGGGAAGTTGCACATAAGGAGAAGAATGGGACAATTCATGTCTTCACAGAATTGCATGTTCCTTCTTCACGTGGGGCTTGTCCCAATTTCTTCTAAAAATGGGAGATATACAACAATGCTGAAGGGAGCTTTTGGCCCAAGTAAAACATTTTATAAAATGGGACAGAGTTCAGGGGTGAGCAAAAATGTACAATTGTAAAAATGTGTAGTTCAATCCTTAATCAAACTTCACCTTCAAAGGAGGTGCAGGTTTTCCTCAAAGCCACTCACCAATGCAATAATTTCCATGGAATCATGTGCCTCAGTGACGTACATGTGCATGATATGAGTGGGATACTACTAATATATTCCAGTTTCTTATAGAATTTACTACAACAGGAAATTGCTTGATACTTGATGAAGTTTTGACTCCCATTGCCTCTGTATTCTTTTAAGTGCTGCTAGCTTTTTCATCAGTTGTGCTTCATGGGGTAAATAGCCTAAATCATATCCCATGACAGAAACCCTTTTTGATTAGTACCTCATGATAAAACTTATCATGTCAAGGGTTAATGTTGGATATTTATCTCGTGACAACAAATACCAAGTTTAATTTTCATAGGACCATGTAAAGCAAGAGTCTAGACTGAAAGAGAAATAATGACAGGCCTTTCAGGCTGCCTGGATGCTCCAAGTAGAATCTTCAAACCATAGATCACTTACTACAATACATAATCATTCTTGGCCCAAGGAAATACCTCTAAAGAGTCTAGACTGAAAGAGAAATAATGACAAGCCTTTCAGGCTGCCTGGATGCTCCAAGTAGAATCTTCAAACCATAGATCACTTACTACAATACATAATCATTCTTGGCCCAAGGAAATACCTCTAGCAGAGAACAAGAAGTGTTTTCGTAGTAAAAGCAGTCTCTATCTGCATGTTTCCAAAAGCATTGAAGCTTGCGTGCTTGACTCCCCCCAGCTCAATTTTCTGCTTCCTGCCACCAGATGTCTCCAACTTAATGCACCCAGTGAATTGGTACAGCCAGGGTCATTCTGTGTCAACTCACATAATGGATAACATAGAAATCCCTCAGATTTTGATTAAATTTGGCCTATAGGTATCTTTATGAGCCAAATATGCTGTCTTTCAATTTTTAAACCCATCAGAGTACCAGCTCCAAAGTTACAGGGTGGGGAAGTTTTGGGGTCATGGCATGACAACTTAAGAGATCTACAAGTAAAAAGATACTTAACCCAAAAGCTTGATTTTTGTGTTATTTTCCTTCAAGCATCTTGAGGGTTACAAAAATGCAGCAAAAAGGGGGTTTTGTGCATATCTGGATACATTGAACTTTACTTGCAACCTTTGACCTTGAATTTAACCATCTTGGACTTCAAGCAAAAATTTTTTTAAATGTCAGATTAAATGTTGTCTAAATTCTTACAAAGGTTGGAAGTTTCAGATATGCAATAATTTTCCCTTTTCAATAACAACACTGAAAAGATTTTGGGTCTGGGGAATTCCATTTTGAGAGGCTGAAAGATTTATAACTAGATGCCATTCTTCAAAACAGACCATTTCATTTCAGTTATTCATATGGGAAGCTGTCTTTCATTAATTCAGTTTCCTTTCAGCTTTCAAGGACTGTTCAAAGTTCAGTGCTCTGCTACTGTATACACACTCTTTCCCAAAAAAGTAAAAAAATGTTTCGCCACTCATAACTGGTTCAGGCTATCGCTGTGTGCTTTTGTGAGCTGACAAGTTTGCATGCACATGAGTGCAAAGTTAAAAAGTGCAAAGTTATAACAATACTTGGGAGGTTTCAAGAAACCTGCCAAACCTACAACCAATTTAAAACTTTACGTAATCAATATCTAGAGCTACAGTACCAGAAGCAAAAACTGCATCAAAGAGGAAAGCTCATCTGAATGCTCAGAATATTGCTTGTGAGATAGTATTGAACATTGATAGTGACAGAGATGATTTCATGATTGATTCAAGTGATGAAGTAAATTTTAAAGAAAGTAGTGAGTGGTGCAATGAAAGTGACACTGGTTGATCAGCTTTTCCAACCAGTCCATGTGGACCAGCAATGACACACTACCTAGAGTTTTTATTTATTTAACTGGTAATCCAAAATTGCTGCTTGAAATTTCCTGAGCCAATACAGTCTATCTCCAAGGTATATGGAAATTAAATTTAATCATTTTTGTAAAAATCAAACTAGGAATTGAAGCCACAAATAAGTGCTTTTTAAAAATCAAATGTGGCTAAATTTCACTGTCAGTGAAAGGTTTA